CTATTCGCACCGAGCGCTGTGTAAACCGTATTGTATCGACCTGAAGGCGAAATTATACTTCTTTTTAACAGCGCTGGCGCAGTAGTTCTATTATATATAGTGCGATGCAATTTTACTGGAGCGGCCAAACAAGGCACCACAGATGATAGAATAAAGACTCCCATTCTCTCAAGTACCACATCGGCGACAGAAGCACGTTGGGATCATCTGGCGAGAAGTATACCTGCTCCTGTATACAATGGAAGGATGCAAAAAAGACCGCATCCAGTCCCAATCGGCCAACACATAGTGCCAAACACGGCAGCGATCTGCTGAACGCAACTGCGATGGGAATATGAGCGGCACCATAGTCGGGATCAGACAATGGTCCAAGAGGAGCCAAGAGGAGCGTCGACGGAGACCTGATATCCGTCCCGATGAGAGGTCAGCAGAAGGTCCAACAGAGAAGGTGCACGATCTTCCAATTATAGAATCCGTGTAGGTGAAGTAGCCATTTGTGTCAGACCACATGCCAAGGAAGGTTATAAACAGATCTTCCCGTATGATCAGTTAAGCGAAAACCAAGTCATTCAGCGTGATGGCCGTTAAAATCAGCAAGGATCACGATCTCTGCAGACGGGACCTGTTATAGCACGGAGTCTGCAGCGATTTTAACGTGGTCGATGAGTTGGTCTGTGTCGGCATTGCCTATAGAGGCACCCGTAGACGCGAGGATGGTCGTGGCTAAACTTCAAGACTGCTGAGGCGTCGAGAACAGATGTCCTCTCTCACGTATACGCAAACTCCAGCCTGAGGCACAAAGGTGTTATAATTTGTACCCCGGATAGGAGAGAAGTATCGACCGGAGAGGACACCTGCGCCTCGGTTAGAAAGAGCAAGGTCGACTTCGCCGTCTTCAGATGGTGCCTAGTGGACTCCGTTAACTTTCGAATGAAATCCCCTGATGTTGCAGAAATGCAAGGATAGCGAGGCAGGGGTCACCTTTGTTTTATTGCTCTACTTGCCATGAGCAGTACCAGTTTTGAGCGGAATTTCGCCCCCCCCCCCCTTTCCCAGGATACGCGAGGCGGCCTGAGCGCCTACCTCTAAGGAAGAGTAGGGTAGCTTGGGCGTGGATGCTCAGCCAGGGATTCTCCAATACCAGGGGTGATGGTACCCTCCTGGGATGGTTACTTATTTAATTACACTACCACGTTAAGGGGGAAAGGGCTTAGGCCTTCGACCACCTGCACTTAACAGGCGAAGTAAACTTCTACTTCACGCTGGTTATTTATAAGTTCGTGGGTCTCCTCGGTTCGAGCCAGTCCACTCATTCATTAATTACAGCTCCTCATTGTCTTCTTCTTGTCCTGAAATACTGGGCGTAAAGTCTAACTTATGCACCAGTCTCCCACAGTATAATATCGAGGCTATACTATACTATATACAATATTTCTGTATTGTGGTGAGAAAACAAATTATTTTTATTATTATCGTAATTTCTTTACACATCGTCACTCCATTTAGTCTCGTCCTCCCGTGCGACAGCAAAAGCTGCCGTGTGACTCTTCCACTGTTATGTTGTCTGCCTATTTTATAAACTGTAATCTACTTCGTCATTGTATATGCGTTACACATAATACTTAATAGTAAGTAGCTTTGCTTCAATATGCCCTGCAGTGGGTCACAACGAACTGATGATGAAGTAGCTTTAAAGTATTTAGTTTAGTTTAAATAGGGCCCCAATTTCTTTTTTGCCCTGGGGCCCTTGGTTACATAGCTACGCCACTGGTGTTAAGCTGCTATTTTACACTGGTATTCTTTGAGAGTGTGGTCCTACCCCGGTCGAGCCGACCCATTCGTGCTACAACTATACTACTACGAAAGAATGGCTTTACCACGTATATGTTATTTTTACCAAATGTAAGTTATACCTTAGTTACTACTCTTTATAGTTGTATAACCACATACTTTAATTCGTAGATGTTCTTGTTTTCCTTGTTAATTGACACGCTTTTCCTTGATATCGAAATAGTGGCCTCTATTTTTCTATTTATAGAATATTGTAGAATTGAACAGATCGTGATCTACCTAGAAATCATATTGAAATCATTCATGATACGCTGTCATTTCATTATTTTGCCGATAATTACTACAATTAGGACTAACTTTGTCAAAACTACTAAAGCTTGATAGATATCAAGTAAGGTCAGTGAGAGTTGGTTTAGGTGCACGCAGTTACGCAAATGCTAACATAGCAATAATTCTACTTATAAAATTAAAACTGACTTCGAAAACAAAAGTAATGAAATAATTTTCACATATTAAAACGAACGAACGATACAAAAACGAAGGAAGCTATCCTTCGTTTTTGTTAAGACATAAGTTATTTACAAAGAGTTGAAGCTTCGAATTTAGAATCTTTCATGTGAATATAATTATTGTTTTTTAGTTTTGAGCAAAAACTCTCTTTAAAATGAGAGTAGGCTTGCGCGCACCTGTGTAATGTATTAGTACTGTAACTGTAACTTATATAGTCCTTCTATTTGTTAAATTTTTTTACCGTTTTAACACTGCTTATGGTCCTCTATCTACTAAAATAAAGATAAAAATGTTCTATTTAACTCTTAAGTGAAATCCTATCCCGGTTAACAATTTAAAATAAAACTATACAAATAAATAAAATTCGAGTGTCCTGGGAATGAGGTGATTGCTGCGAAGCTATTTCTAATTTGTTTTGTGTTGTCAATTGTGTAACTGTTTTTTTAAAGATCTTTGGGTTTCTTGGTGCCCCTTCCCAGGACAGCGGCTTTTTTTCCGAACCAGTGGTAATTCAACAAAAGAGTAACTTTCAATGAATATTATTTATAATCTATATTGAATAAAAAAAGTTTCTGTTTCAGTTCTTTTACTGAACAATTTCTAACACGACCACATTTTACTACGTTAACGTTACACAAAAATCCATAAACATTTTTTTAATAGTAGAACTACTTTTTGTTCAAAAACTGGTCTGATTTTCTACCGTCCTTTTAATTATTTCTGATACTAAGCAACAGTGCATCATTTACTAATTCCTGAGGGTTAACGAAGTATTAGGTCCTTACATATGAAATTGGCGTTTGGTACGGGAGGAATATAAAGTCAATTTTTTTTTGTAAAATATATTTAATTAATCAAAGTATGCACCATTGTTATCTATGCACTTTTGCCATCTCATAGGTAGTTCCCTTTACTAAAAAAACCATCGGGGCGAGAATCAATAAACTCTTTGAAGGCAGTTTGGACTGCCGCATCGGAGTTGAATTTTTTTCCTTGTATGAAATTGTCCAAATTCTGGAAAACTGTCTAAGGTCCGGGGAGTACGGTGGATGTCGCAGACATTCCAATTGTAGCTCATCTAACTTAGTGGTTGTTTGTTCTGCAGTATGTGGTTTTGCGTTGTCGTGAAGCAGCAGTGGTCTAGAGTGATTGACCAATCTCAGTTGTTTAGCAGCTAGTTCTTCCTTCATTGCTTGCAGTTGCTGACAATAGATATCTGCCGTAATCGTTAGGCCAGATTTTAGAAAGCTGTAGTGAACAACACCGGCGCTAGATCACCAAACACTCACAAGTAACTTTTTCTGAGTCAATTTTCGTTTAGGGCAAAATTTGGCTGGGACTCCAGGGTGCAGCCATTGCGACGAGCGCTTCCGATTATCGTATGGTATTCATTTTTCATCACAGGTAATGATTCGATTTAAAATCCCTTCATTTTTGTGTTGTTGAGCAAAGTATCACAACAGTCGACGCGTGTTTGCAAGTTCGATTCACTCAATTTATGAGGTACCCATTGTTCAAGTTTTTTTACTTTCCCGATTTGGTTCAAGTGAATTAATACAGTTTTATTACTTACCCCGAAGCCTGATCCGCTTCCACAATAGCCTTTAATTATTCATTTTCCACTTTGCTCTCCGGCCTTCCACGGGGTTGGTTCTGAAGGTCGAAATTTCCGAAATGAAAACGTTGAAACCAAAAACGTACCGTGTTTTCTTTTGCGACACCAGCGCCGTACACATCATTAATCCTTTGAGCTGTTTCTGCAGCACTGGTACCACGGTAGAACTCGTAATCGTAAATATACCGATATTTCATGTTTTCCATTGTGCGGTAATAAGCGACGCCAAAGAAAAAAGTAATGAGGAAAAAACAAATGAATGACTGTTTTCTAAACTCTAATGTACGAGCTAAATGGATTTATAAATTTGAATTTGGAATTCTTAACCAATGAGGAGATATTTCAGATCAAAGTGGTCAGTACGACAAAGCGAAAATTTCATATGTAAGGACCTAATATTTGTGAAGACTAAGAAAGTGATCTGAAATCGGTTGTAGGTGTCCAAGTGCTGCGGTAGCTTTTTTCGAGCAGCTAAATTAGCTCGTGTGTCATTTTAATCTATATATAAAAGATCTTTTTTTTTCTTAAAATCGGGACCTCTGCGAAGAAGGCTAAGGATTTTAACGATCGATGTAATTGTACGCACACTTGCTGGTATGTGTGTATGCGTGTGCATGTGAGTGTGCGTGTGCGTACACGTGTGAAAATATACCAACAACTCGCACTTATCTTAATTAACATTTTGACTAGACCCACACCTAAGAATATGAAATCTTTTTTTCTAGTCACCAAAAAGCCCTTACTACAACAGTGTTTGTATTTTCTTTAACAGTGGTAGAGCCACGCGGCAGCTTTTGCTGTCGCACGGAAGGGCCGGCTCGAACCGGGGTGGTACCACGACCTCACAGAATACCAGCGTGGAGTAGAGGTTTACCTCTGCGTTTCGCTTGGTGAGTGCAGGTGGCCGGAGGCCCTTTTTACTGGAAATGAGGCATTCCATCTTAGTCCTCACGGGTCACAACGCATCTGCATTTTGATTTGTAGTAGAGGATAGATGTAGATGTCTATGGGCCGCAGCAACCACTTATCATCAGGTGGACTCTGTGCTCGTTTGTCACCCTTATCTTATATAAAAAAAACTTACTTTGAACTGTACGCGTCTTGCACGGTTCGAATAGGCGGCGTGTCGGGCTGTTTCTTCATTTTGTTTTCTTTTTATATGCCTTTCTTTAGTGTATTTTAGAAGGCCTTGTTATTCTCATCGCCACTGTAGATGTTACTGAAACAATAACAAAATATCGTAAAATCACCAGAAATTATGACATTACTAATTAAAAAATACTTACACTAATACTTAAGAAGAACCACGCTTACAAAAATACCATTGTAAAATAGCATCATATTGCCGCTGTTGTGTGTATCAAGTGACAACAGCCGGAAATTTTTTTTCTTAATGTGGCGTTCAACCTCAGTTCTTTTGGGTGACAAGACACCTGCCTTTTTTCTTAATCGAGGATAAATGTAGATATCATGTGCATGTTGCTACACTTGGCAAGTATGTTGGCAACCGCAGTATTTTATTATTTTGACTTGAATGGATATTAGGAAGATGGTGTTGCCGATTTACTGGCTTAATTTCCCTCTGTCACCTGCTACGATACCCACGGGATGATATTATGGGGTAATAGATATTCTTACAGTGCAAGTATATGCTTAATTTAAAAATAATAAATTACCAAAACCCAAACAATAATTTCTGAAGTCGCGACTTTAAGCATTTATTTTATTTTTTAGATATTTGAAAACGGATTCAGATATACACCACACTTTATTACAAACGTTTGAAAGTTTAACCCTTGCATCGTATACCTTTTGTATTTCATTTACTAGCTGGTACATAGAGCGTTGCTGCCGCAGAAGAAACAATTGTAAAAATACCGTTTTAAATTTGGAACACTTATATTGTTTAATTAGGAATGATAATACATACATTGAAATTGAATTATAACTTTCGAATATTTTTTTCGATGCGATACACGCGCAACCTACTTTAAATTAATTGTACTATACATATGTATAAACCTTCGTGCAAGTGCCAGCAATAAGTTGAAAAGTTTTACCGCAATATGATGAACGGTATGGCAACGCATATAATACGAGCAAACAAACAAAGATTAATTTTTGTATGTTAGATTGCTAGTTTTATTTGCATTCTTTTTTCAAAATTTTGGTTGCGTGTGCATACATGTACATATTATGCAGATACAACTTTGTCTTCTAAAAAGCGTTTCTTTTATTTTTATTATAAGTACATGTTCGATGATTGGCTTGGTGGGGCATCTCAAAGTTGGGCCACGCTTGTGTTTTTGCAGTTTAAGCATTTTATATTAGCAGTACTTAGCGACTTTACTGTCGCTTTCTTCCTGATCAGTTGATCCTGATTTCTAATCCCAGGTCAGGTCAACATCAGTTATTGGGTTTTTCTATTAAGAATTTCTCAGTAACAGCCCGGAGCAGGCTCCAGGGTGAGTGAGTAATGAGTTCACTTGTGCTTACGCATAAACTCGTGCACTACCCTGTACTGCGCAGATGGCTAGTCTCCGATGAGACCGGCCGCTGCGACTATGTCAATTGTCAGAAATATCTATAAAAACTCCTATAAAGTGTGTAAATTAGATTTTTTTTTATAAAATAAGGGTGACAAACGAGCACGCAGTCCACCTGATGGTGAGTGGTTGCTGTGGCCCATAGACATCTACATCTATGTTCGTAAGCAAATCAAAATGAAGATGCGTTGTCAGCCGTGAGGACTAAGATGGAATGCTTCTTTTCCAGTAAAATGGGTCTCCGGTTCTCTACACTCACCATACGAAACACAGCAGCGTTAAGCTGCTATTTTACGCTGGTATTCTGTGAGAGCGTGGTCCTTACACGGTCGAGCCGACCCATTCGTGTTACAACTATACTTTTAATATAGCTGCAGCATGGCTCTACCACGTGTATTGTCTACATAATCTCGATGCAATGGTGTACGGAAAAACTCAAACGAGATTATGTTCGTACCAAAACTTATTGTCTTTGTAATCATAAGTTACTTAATTCAAATAATAAATTAAAATTAAAAAAAAAAATCTTATGGCTCCGGATAGCCAGTAGTGTACAACAATTTTAGTTTACAACAATTTATAAGATTAAACTTTCAATAAATAAAAACTGATTTCAACATTTCACTGTCCCCTGTGTCAATATATTATGAACATTTCGATTGTTTAACTATTTTGAGTTTTTTTTTTGTCGGCAGGGAAAATGTTAAAAGTACGTAAGAATATAAATATACAATTTAAAATTAAAAGTTTTGTGCAACCGACTTCAATATAAATGATCAAGAATAACTCAAGAACTATTGGTCAGACCTTGATTAACTTTATATTGGACCACAAGAGAAGCACCAGCTTTCAACTAAGAAAAGAATTGTCGAAATCTGTTTACCCAGATAAAAGTTATAAGTTAACACACATAAAAAACACAGACGAATTGAGTACCGTCTCCTTTTTGAAGTCGGTAGAAAAGATAATTGAAATTGGTGAACGTGATAAAAAATAATTCACCTATTACTGGTGTCTTTGCTTGGTTTGATGATTTTTTTGATCCTATCATCTTGTCATGGCTAAATTCATATGGGACTACATACTCTTGATGTACATCGTTTTAAACTAAAAATCGTTGTAATTGGAAAACGTGGTAAAGAGTTATCACTTAATATACATTAGAAAAATCTTCGGCGAATTGAGAACCTCCTGATTTTTTAAAGTCGGTTTAATACTCTGTAGTACTGCGATAAAAAGATAAATACATGCGTAATAAGGTATACTGTTACGATTTTTATTTGTGTGGCGATCTTACAGATTACTACTATATCTATCTTTGAGAATAGTGTCACTTAAAATGTTTTTTGAAGAAAAAAGCACAGTTGCAGACTATAATATATAGGATCACACCACGGACAGTGAAGTTATCTTTGTTTTACAGAAGAGGGACATAAGAGCAATTCATAACAATTAAAAATAATTATTACTCAGTATATTTACGAAAAAAAAAATATTTTTACTAAAAATTGTGACGAATATTTTGTAAATATTAGAAACAAGCACAAGCTAATTATACCAGTTAATCGACTAATTTCTTCATGGGAAAATGTAGACCCTTAAACAACAAAGTCCCATAAAATATGCAGGACTTATCTATCAAAAAGTATTCATTTGTATGTTGACATTAAAATTTATTACGTGCCTGACTAACATTTAATCTGTTTAACGTTTTACGAGACACTTATGACAATCTATGTAATACTTTGTACGTGTAATGTGTAATCAATCCACATGATACAGAGCGCAGATGTAAGTGTGTAACAATTCAATGATTTGTTTCTTTATTTATTTTAGGATTTTATGTCTCAACAGATATGTTAGCCTCATCATACTCTTATCTTTCTGACAGAAAATAAAAATAAAACTCTTATTGAAACAACATTTGTTGACATAACACTATAAAAAGGTAAATATACACAATGGATATGAGATATTATCTATATCTATTCTTTGAAAAAAAAACGTTATATGATTATATATATTTATATTTATACAATAAGTGGAATGCCTCGTTACGAGTAAAATGTTCTACCGCATTTGTCATTATCATCATCATTATCATTACAGCCTTTCATAAGTCCACTGCTGAACATAGGCCTCCCCCAAGGAATGCCACAAGGCACGGTCCAGAGCCACTTGCATCAAGCGACTTCCTGCATGCCTTACCAGGTCGTCACTCCATCTCGTGGGGGGTCGCCCTACACTTCGCCTACCGGTACGAGGCTGCCCCTCAAGAACCTTTCTTCCCCATCGGTTGTCGGTTCTTCGAGCTATGTGGCCGGCCCACTGCCACTTCAGCTTACTAATCCGTTGGGCTATGTCAGTTACTCTGGTTCTACTGCGGATATCCTCATTTCTAAGTTTATCACGCAGATAACCTCCGAGCATAGCCCTCTCCATAGCTCGCTGAGCGACCTTGAGCTTCCTCATACGGCCAGCAGTGAAGGACCACGTCTCAGATCCGTAAGTCATCACTAGCAACACGCACTGGTTGTACAATTTCGTTTTAAGGTTTTGAGGTATGTCTGACGAGAAGATGTGTCGTAGTTTCCCAAACGCTGCCGGTTTTGTCACTTACCATAAAAGTACACATGAGCATTATGCTGCTATTTCACGGTAGTATTTTGTGCGAGCGTAAACCATCTTCGGTTGGTCTAACCCATCCCTGTCGGAGAGTGGCTGTACAATATAATAATTTAAGTGAATAGTTGATGATGACCCCCGCCAAGCGTGTCAGTTAAGGCAAAATACCCCTATGAGCTAATCTACGTGGTGGGTCACGCTGCAGCTGCATTATGGTGGAAGCATATTGGATCAAATCGACCGGGGAAGGACGCTCTCACAGAATACCGGCGTTAAATGGCAGCTGCTGTGTTATTATGGCGAGTGTAGCGAACCGGAAACCCTTTTCACTGGTACCGAGGAATCTTAGTACTTAGGGATGACAATGAATCAACATTTTGATACCTTATCAAGGTAGGTGTTATTTGGTTGTCTGTTGGCCACAGCATCCATTAAACATCTTGTTCTTATTCTTAAAAAAAAAACTACATTTATCAGTGGATTTAACTCAACTATTACTCAGACAAGAAAACAAAATCAATTAAAGGTCGCAGGTAAGTCTAGTGCTTCTTTAATATTCAATCTTTATTCTTGTTAAGAGGATTCGTGCATCACGTTTTAATAGCCATGTAAACCGCAAATTATTCCGAGTCAAACATAAAACATCTTTCAAAATGTAAACAAAGTATAAATATGTGATAAGGAAAATGTTGTATATATTCCAAACATTTTATTTCGATGTTATCATTCCATAAGGAACCATCATTGGGCGGTTTTCCGTTTCTCGGCACGGCGCCGTTGTCGTTTTTCCACTGCGCTGGTGGCGGTGCCGGTCTACGCTCAGTTTTTGGGCAGTATTAGCACATACTTCAGTTCTACATCGTTCTACGTCATCGTATTTGTTTGCTATCTCTTACATTTAATACGAAAATATACTCGTAATCAACGCAAAGCAGTAAAATATTGAATTCATAGAATCTTAAAAATAAGGTA